TGGGACCCGGCGTCCGGCTCCCCGCCCAGGCCCCCCGGGGACGCGGGGCCGGCCCCTCTGGAGCCCCCGGCCCCGGGGGAGGCGGAACTCACGGGTCAGGGGCCGATCCCGGCGCCAGGGGTCTTCCTCCGGCTTCGGCTCCGGCGGCGGGAGCGGAGATCGGGGCGGGGCGGGCTCCGGGAACAGGTTGGACAACGTGACTCGGGCTGGAGGGAGGCGGGTCCCCGAGGGGAGGGGAGCGGGAGCCGGGGTCGCCTCGAGCACCTTGGGACTTGTAGTCCCGGAGGAGCGGACCGAGCCGTTCCCGTTCAGAGGCATCCGAAGTCCATTTCACAGGCAGGAAGGGCGAGGCCCAGGAGCCCAGAGAGACCTGGCCGCGGAAACGGAGGCCACACGTCCACGTCCCCGCGGCCGCGGAAGACGGACCCCCGAATCCCTGCCCCGCCCCTCCAAGCTCAGGGTCCCCCTTCTTGAACGGTTAGGACACTGCCAGAGGGGGGAAGGTTACAGGCTGGGGGAGACTACGCCCTATCCCTAGAGCGAAAGGTCTCCCCAAATAGGATCCCCTCGAGTTCCTGAGCCTCAGTCTCCCCGTCGGTAAAAAGGGCAGACTGGCTCTGGCCGGTGTTGCTCAGTGGATAGAGCGTCGGCCTGCGGACTCAAGGGTCCCAGGTTCCATTCCGGTCAAGGGCATGTCATCAGTGGGGTGTGTGCAAGAGGCAGCTGATCGATGACTCTCTCCCATCGATGTTTCTAACTATCTCTCTCCCTTTCTCTCTGTACAAAATCAATAAAATATATTTTTTTAAAAGAGGTTTTCCCATTAGGGGGTATCCTTCCAAAAAAAAAAAAAAAAAGGGCATGTACCTTGGCTGCGGGCACATCCCCAGTAGGGGGTGTGCAGGCGGCAGCTGATTGATGTTTCTCTCTCATGGATGTTTCTGACTCTCTAATCCCTCTCCCTTCCTCTCTGTAAAAAGTCAGTAAAACCTATTAAAAAAAAAAAAAAAAAGGGGGGGGGGGGAATGGACTGGATCTTACGAGATGTCCCAGCAACCGCGCCGGGGCTGGGACTACGGTCCCCAACGGCGTCCACAGCCCCGATGGGCGCTTCCCCGCGGGGTCTTCTGGGAATTGTAGTCCCGGCGCCCGCAGGGGCGACGCCCCGGTGTCTCCCCTCCACCCCGCGCGCGGTAACCGTCTGGGGGTCCCCGGTGGAGGGGACGCGTCCGGGGACCCTCCCTCCGCTCCGGGGAGCCTCTCGCTCCCTGAAAAGAGAGGGGCACCCCAATGCGGGAGCAGGATCCGAAGTCGCGGCAGGCAGAGGGGGCGGGCCGCGGCGCTGACACACCGGCCAGGAATGCGGCTGGGTCACCCTGTCTCGCCGCTGTCTCGCCGCTCGGCCCGCAGCCCCGCGGGAGGAGGTCGCTGCCGAGGGGGGGGGGGGCGCGTGGACGCGTCCCCCAAAGGTGGGCCCACGTGCTACTGTTTACAGGCGCCCCGGGTCCGGGAGGGAGCTCTGGGCTTCTCCCTCTCCCTTCCCCAGCGCCTTCGGGAATGTGCTCCTTAAGGTGACCAGAAGTGCGGGTTTCTAACAATTTGTCCCGTGTCCCGGCGGCCTTTTAAAAAAGTCCCGACTTTTTTAAAACGCCTCCGGGACGCGGGACACATTTCGAATTCGAGGCTGTCGCCGAAACCGGTTTGGCTCAGTGTATAGAGCTTCAGCCTGCGGACTGAAAGGTCCCGGGTTCGATTCCGGTCGAGGGCATGTGCCTTGGTTGCGGGCACATCCCTAGTAGGAAGTGTGCAGGAGGCAGCTGATCGATGTTTCTCTCTTATCGATATTTCTAAATCTCTATCCCTCTCTCTTCCTCTCTGTAAAAAAAAAATCGATAAAATATATTATTAAAAAAAAAAAAAAAAGAATTCGGGGCTGTCCCGCCAAGCGCGGGACGTCTGGTCACCTTAAATGAAATCCTCCAGGACAGCTACTTGTCTGGTTGGACCCACAGGCCCTATCCCTCAGCTCACACGGCCCCACGCGAGTCTGGAGGCTCCGCCCCCCCATGTTTCCCGCTCCCCCGAGGTCCAGAAGCCCCGCCCCTGGCTGGTACCTCACCCCCTGAGAGGAATCACCCCCTTTCCTTCACTCCCCCTCCCTTCCCACTCAAAGTTCTGGACTCCCGAGACACCGGGGCCTCCCCAGAAGGGACGGTAACACTGACAGCACAGCCACGCCAAGCAAGACGCTTACCTCTCTCTCTCTCTTTAAGGATTTCAGACCAATCGATCCTCCTGTCTCTTTAAGAGTTCGGTTCCATCCATGTGGCTGCCCCTTTAAGATGACGTTGGAGCCAACAATGTCTGAGACACTAAGGGGGGTGCCCGCCGGGGCCGGGTGGGGCTCTGCCTCCCTCCAGACGTCGAACCAGCTGGATCTGGGAGCAGGTTTGCAGGAACAGAGATCCTCCTTGGTTGTCTGCTCCGCACAAATGGAAATCTCCCGCAGTTCTGCTCACAAAGCCCGCGGGCTCCCAGAGGCGCCTCCCCGCCCCGCGCCCTTTGGGCGCTCCCGAGCCAGGCCCCGCCCCTCCGGCTCCACGTGGTCGGCGGCGGGGCCGGGGCGGCTTAGCTGCCGGTCTGTGCGTGAGCTGCGGGCACCGGGATGGCGGGGGCCCCGTCCGGAGGTGAGTTGCTTCAGGGCGGGCCGTCGGGGTGCAGAAGGCTGGCTGGTGGGAGGAGAAAGGGTCGCCGGGAGCGTCTGGGCGGGAAAAGGAACATCCCCGGAAACAGGACCTGCGAAAAGCATGCCCCGTGGAAGGCGGGGGTCGGGGCACTGGAGGGGGTTCGGCCGGAGAGGATATCTTGGGAGGGCTACCAGTGTAGGAAAGAGCCCCCCAGGATTTGGATCAGTGGAGATTAAGGGGTCTCCGTGGAACCCACCGTTGGAGAGACCGGTTGCGGGCCTTTGGGGTAGTCAAGAGGTTGGGACCAGTGCGATAGGCGCCCTGGAGTAGCGGTTCTACACCTTCCTAATGCCGCCACCCTTTCATACGGTTCCTCATGTTGTGGTGACCCCCAAACATAAAATTATTTTCGTTACTACTTCGTAGCTGTAATGTTGCTACTGTTAATGAATCCTAATGTGAATCTCTGTTTTCCGATGGACTTAGGCTCTACCATCCAGGGCCTGGAGGATTGGACTGGCAGGCAAGTGTCAACAGACCCGTTTTCCCCTCTGCAGGTGCTGCTCGGTTCTCTTGTCCCCCCAACTTTACCGCGACGTCCCCATCCTCAGAGTCCGCTCGTTTCTCGTTGGAGGCGCTGACGGGCCCAGACACAGAACTGTGGCTTATCCAGGCCCCTGTGGACTTCGTCCCAGACTGGTGAGTGGGCCCAGCTGCCTCCCTGGAGTTCCTGCCACCCTCGTAGATGGACTTGGGGGGGGGGGATTTAGAGGGCTTTGAACCTAGGAATGCATTTTCTCAGCTCCTTCCCCGTGCCACCGGAAGACTCTGACCCGGCTTCTGCCCTCCCCTTTCTCCTTTCAGCCTCAACGGGCGGCTGGTGCCGCTCTCCGGCTCCCAGGTGGTGAAGGGCAAGGTGGCAGGCAGGCGGCACCGCTACCGGGTCCTCAGCAGCGGCAGCCCCCACGCTGGAGACGCCACTCTGCTGGCCCCCTCGGCAGAGGCAGAAGGCGGCCTCACCTGTGCGCCGGCCCCCAAGGGCAGCCTGAGGATCTTGGAGGGCCCCCGAGAGTCCTCATCGGGGATCCCGCTGCATCCCATTCCCACCAGCCCCCCGCCACAGATCCCCCCCGGCCTGAGGCCTCGCTTCTGTGCCTTTGGCGGCAGCCCGCCAGTCCCAGGGCCTGGGGCCGCCGTGGCCCCGGGGCCACCGGCCTCGGCGAGGAGGAAAAGGCAGCGGCATGTCTCTGAGGCCGCTGTTCCTCGGGACGCGGTGAATGGGCCCGGGACCCTGGAGGGGGACACGGCTGTGGGGTCCTCGGGGGTGGACGCGGGGAAGAAGAAGAAAAAGCAGCGTCCCAGTGAGCTGCAGGCGGTGAAGCCGGAGCCTGAGGCTGAGGGGCTGGAACCCCTGGGAGTGCTGCTCCCGTCCCCCAGCAAGAAGAAGCAGCAGCTTAAAGAGGCAGACACGGGGGAGCTGGAACTCGTGATTAAAACGGAGCCTCTGCAGGAGCCAGTCCTGACCCCCGCTAAGAGGAGGAAGAGGCACAAGGGCACAGGAGGGACGGAGGCCGTGGAGGGGGTGGCAGCGGAGCCTCAGCCACAGGTGAAGGAGGAGCCCCAGGAGGAAGCCATCCCACTGCCGTCCTCCAAGAAGAAGAAGAAGAAAGAAAAGGGGTGCGGGGAGCCGGGGACCGAGGCTGTGGAGCCGGAGATGAGAACTCGGGAGCTCCCGGGGGAGACGGTGGAGCCTGAGCTGCCACTCGGTGAGACTGAGCCACAGGCCGAGGCAGCGCTGGCGTCCACCAAAAAGAGGAAGAAGAAGGAAAAATGGCAAAGCCCGATGGTGGAGCCGAAGACGGAGGTGGTGGCGCCCCAGGAGGAGGTGACGGTGCCGGCACTGCCAGGCGACCCCGAGCCTCAGGCAGCCCTGGCATCGCCCAAGAAGAAGAAGAAGAGAGAGAGAGGGCACAGAGCGGCAGAGCCAGGGACTGAGGCGGCTGGCCCACAAGGTGAGATGGCGGAGCCCGAGGCCAGGGCGGGTCCAGGGACCGCCGAGAAGAGGAAGAAGGGGGGCCAGGAGAGAGGGGTGCCAGAGACGCCATCCCAGGAGGAGATGCCAGAGCCGCCTCTGAATCCAGAGTCCGGGGAGGGGGCTCCCACGAGACGGGAGAAGAAGAGAAAGAAGCTGCAGCAGGAGCCTGCGTAGCCTCCTCCAGGGGCACGGACAACTGAGAAAGCCGAGGGCCGCCTGGGCGCCAGAGCCCAGAGCAGAGAAAACCCCTTCGGTGGCCGCAGCAGCACACAGCGGGAGCTTGGCGGGAAGACGCTTTATTGTTGCACAGAGGCCTCCCTGGCAGCGGGGTCACCCGGGCACCTTCAGGAAGGGCTCGTGGAGGACGTCAAACAGCCTGCGGGCCTGGGGGGAGAGGAGCCGTCATTAAATGAGCCATTTGTTCGGTGCACCCGCGTGGGCCGTGGTTCCTTTTCTCCCCGCTGGCTGTGAGGCTGGGCTGGTCCCCACCCTCTGGGCCTCGGTTTCCCCCATCTAGAGGAGAGGCACTGTGGGGCTTCGGAAACCTTAGAACTTTAGGATCTGGGGTCCCATCTATTTGGGGCTCCCCTCCAGCCCCTGCCCCGAGCCCATTCCAGATCTCTTACCTTCTGGGGCCCCAGGCCCGGGCACAAGGCCAGATCTTCCCTCGATGCGGCTATGAGCTGTTCCAGAGACTGAGGGGGTGGGAGTGAAGGGTCAGGGGAGGCGGCCATAAAACCCGCCCTGCCCCAGCTGGCCAGGGATCTCAGACATTCCCGGAAGAGGGTGAGGGCCTGTGGGAGGGCAGGGAGGGCAGGAAGAGAGGGCAGGGGGGTCAGGGAAACAGTAGGGGCTTCCTCCAAAAGGCACGGGGGCAGGAATGCCTGTAGGGACACAGGAAGCCTTCCTTACCCCGAAAGTGGTCAGGAGGGTCTGACTGTCTGTTTTGTTGACTGACTTCACAGTGGTCAGACATTCAGTCACCTGGAAGGGGGGAGGAGGCAGAGTGAGTTGGGAGAAGAGCGAACAGCGCTGAGCCCATGAGGGCAGTGCTGTTCCTGCTGTGTCCCCAGACCGCCTGGCATGCAGGAGGTGCTCAATAAATGCTTTTTTTTTTTTTTTTTTTTTTAATACTGACAAAGAGGTCATCTTAGAGTGACCCCCCCAATAGCTGAAAGGGTGTCGGTTGTGTGATGAGAAGATAAATAAATGCCACTTTTTTAGTTGGTTCCGTCCAGGGGAAGACTAGCTCTGAAGTCGGAGCTGTGTTCACACCAGGCCCCACTGCTTACTCCCTGGGAGGTCCTGGCTGAGGAAGTCATCTCTGGGCCTCCATTCCCAGGCTGCAGGGAGTCCTGGCGGTACCCACCTCAGGGTGGCTGCAGGCATCCACCATTACTCCATCACTAGAGGCCCGGTGCATGACATTCGTGATGGGGGCGTTGTCCCTCAGCCCAGAGCCCAGCGAGGTGGCCATCCAAGCTGTGCTCGCCAGCTGTGAGCACGGCTTCTGGCTGAGCAGCACTCCCCCATGGGGCGCACTGACATCTGCCCCCTGGTGGTCAGTGTGCATCACAGCAACCAGTAGTTCTGTTTGGTTGATTTGCATATTACCCTTTTAATAGATGGGACTGGAGCCCAGATTCAATCACTCGTTCAGCGGATAGTCCCTAAGTACCCACTGAAGGCTGGGTGGTGCTGGGGACACAGCAGGGACTAAGACAGCCTGGCTCTGCCCTCCTGGGGTCCCAGTACAGTGTGGGAGACACATTAGTTCCAGACAGTATTGACTCAGATGGGTTTGGATAGGGGGGGGTCCAGTGAGGACACCTGACCTGGCCTGGGGGTCAGGGAGGGCTTCCTGGAGGAGGGAGCACACAGAGCTCATATGTGAAAGATGGGATACCTGGAGAAGCTTGTAGGCATGGGAGAAGGGACAGAAAATGTGAGGCAGGGGGCGGGCAGGGCCTGGCAGAGCATGGCAAGAAAGCCGGGCTCTCCCCGAGGGCACGGGGAGCCACAGGATGGTGTTGATCTGGGGAGGGAAGCGTCAGGTTTGTGCTTAGACCCCACTAGCTGCTGTTCAGCTGGGAGAGGGGAGGAGAGGCATGACTGGGATCAGAAATGAAACTCAAACGCCCAGCAGGGTGCTGGGGGAGGGCGGGGAAGGGGGTGACGTGGCCTCACCCGGGACACGAAGTCCTGCTCCAGCTTCTCCATCAGCAGGTCTGCCGGCTTCTGCTCATAGGCCTTGTAGGTCTCCAGGTACCGCCCGGCCTCCTCGGGGCTGGGGGGAGAGGACATTCGGGTCAGCCAGGTTGGGGAGGGGCCATGTTTTAGATTCATTTCGTTACGGTGATAGTAACTGCTGACTTCAAACTAATATATACTGTAGAAAAATGAACAGCCCTAGCCAGTTTGGCACAGTGGATAGAGCATCGCCATGCGGACTGAAGGGTCCCAGGTTCCATTCTGGTCAAGGACAAATGCCCAGGTTACAGGCTCCATCACCAGTAGGGGGCGTATTCTCATCACTGATGTTTCCATTGCTCTCCCCCTTCCTCTCTGAAATCAATAAAAGTATTTTTTTTTTTTTAAAGTGAACATTCTCAGCCTCCTCGAAATGCCCCCTGGTATGTTTTCAGGCTAAAGACCAGAGTTTGGGCTTTATTATTATTTTTTAATGGATTTAAATTAAAAAAAAATGTTTTATTGATTTTTTTACAGAGAGGAACGGAGAGGGAAAGTTAGAAACATCGATGAGAGAGAAACATCGACCTGCTGCCTCCTGCACACACCCTACTGGGTATGTGCCCGCAACCAAGGTACATGCCCTTGACCAGAATTGAACCCGGGACCCTTCAGTCCGCAGGCAACACTCTATCCATTGAGCCACACCAGCTAGGGCTGTCTTGCGTTTTCTTAGCCTTCAAAATCCCGCTGGCAAAAAATGTTTGTTGATTCAATGTTGGTTGCATTTTTTATTCCATTCTTGAAAGAAACAGTCATTTTCCTGATTCTGTTGTTTTCCATGAAACGGGCTTGCAGCTCCTCTTTCTGAGCAGCAGGCGTTATTACTGTAATGCCATCGGCTCAGGACACACAGGTTAGCACCTGGATCCAGTGTGTGACTTGCTTTCGGCTCTGCGTTCTACACTATGCCCAGGACCCTTCCACAGAAGACAGCTCCGTCTCCTTTATGAAATGGCTGCACCACAGCCCATGGGCCTCGCTGTGTGCCATCACAGGCCTACGCCCATTACAGTCAGAAGCTTCTGGACTGTCTGCAGAGATCCCGTCAGGGCTGGGTCCCCTGTCCAGGTTACACGGCTGGCGAGGAGACTCCATCAGTGGGCGGGGCCACCGCCAGGCTCTGTGCTACTTCCCCATAGCGTGATTTTTATACTTGCTTTTGTTTTAATATACAACTAATACATAAATATATTTTCCCCAAATAAACAGCATAGAGGTGCATACCCAGAGGGGAGGCACAGAGTTACAAATATCCTTTGGCCTAAAAGCCCATTCCCGGGATTCAGGACAGAAGTAGGAGTGCTGGGGGTAACAGCGAAAGACAGAGACCAACAGGGGGCTGGCCTGTTCCATCTACACAAGGGAGTAGCTTAACAGCTGGAAAAGAACATGGATCCAGACAAGGAGCTGATATTCAGTGATTAAAACCAAGTGACCGCCCTAGCCGGTTGCTCAGTGCTTAGAGTGTCAACCTGCAGACTGAAGGATCCCGGGTTCAATCCCAGTCAAAGGTCCCTGGCACCAGTCAGGGAGCGTGCAGGAGGCAACCCATTGGTGTGTCTCTTTCACACTCTTCCTCTGTGTTTCTCCCCCTCCCTTCCATTCTCTCTAAAGAAATCAATGGAAAAAATATCCTTGGGGGAGGATTAGCAACAAAAACAAAGAAAGTGAGTTACCAAGTCACGAAAAGACATGGAGGAACCTTCCAAGCTCAGTGGAAGGAGCCAACCTGAAGAGGCTGTGAGATAACACAGAATCTAGGCTGGTGCTGCCCTCGGCCCCTGTAAGTGTGAAAGTGCTAAGAGCACCAGAGTGTCCTCGTTCTGGTGAGGGGCTCTCGGTGGGCTCCGGGATGGGGCCGGTCCCCCGAAAGTGCAAGCCATGATTAGAAACTTGGAAGTTTCCGCCCCACCCCAGCCCCACCTCCAGGGACGAGGGGCTGGACGGGAGTTAATCATTGATCAGGCCAACGAGGTGAGGAGCTGCCTTCCTCTCGGAAGCACAGGGTTCACAGAGCGTCTGGGCCGTGAATGCATCCACCCAGCGTGACTCACTCTGCTCCCCGAGCACAGACAGTCCTGCCCAGGCTCCTCCGGCTGCGCCCTCAGAGCTCCTCCCCTGGCTGTGCATCTATTGTATGTCCTTCGGTAACCGGGAAACAGCCGGCGGGTGTCTATGTCCTTCAGTAACCGGTAAACAGCCGGCGGGTGTCTATGTCCTTCAGTGACCGGTAAACAGCCGGCGGGTGTCTATGTCCTTCAGTGACCGGTAAACAGCCGGCGGGTGTCTATGTCCTTCGGTAACCGGTAAACAGCCGGCGGGTGTCTATGTCCTTCGGTAACCGGGAAACAGCCGGCGGGTGTCTATGTCCTTCGGTAACCGGGAAACAGCCGGCGGGTGTCTATGTCCTTCGGTAACCGGTAAACAGCCGGCGGGTGTCTATGTCCTTCGGTAACCGGGAAACAGCCCGGCGGGTGTCTATGTCCTTCGGTAACCGGTAAACAGCCGGCGGGTGTCTATGTCCTTCAGTAACCAGTAAACAGCCGGCGGGTGTCTATGTCCTTCGGTAACCGGTAAACAGCCGGCGGGTGTCTATGTCCTTCGGTAACCGGTAAACAGGCGGGTGTCTATGTCCTTCGGTAACCGGTAAACAGCCCGGCGGGTGTCTATGTCCTTCGGTAACCGGTAAACAGCCGGCGGGTGTCTATGTCCTTCAGTAACCAGTAAACAGCCGGCGGGTGTCTATGTCCTTCGGTAACCGGTAAACAGCCCGGCGGGTGTCTATGTCCTTCGGTAACCGGTAAACAGCCCGGCGGGTGTCTATGTCCTTCGGTAACCGGTAAACAGCCCGGCGGGTGTCTATGTCCTTCGGTAACCGGTAAACAGCCCGGCGGGCGGGCGTCTCCGCTGTGGAGCTCGCCCTGAGCACCGATGGTGCCGGCTCCAATCCTAGGCAGGCCTTGGTTTCGGCCGGATCCCCAGTCGGGGTGCGTATGGGAGGCAGCCGATCCATGTTTCTCTCCCACCCCCACTCCCCACTCTATAAAATCAATTAAAAAACACATCCACGGACAAGGATTAAATTAAAAAATAACTGGTGAACGTCAGTGTTCCCGGAGTGCGATGAGCCTCTCCAGCTAACTGTCACACCTGAGGGGGCGCGGGCCCCCCCACAGCCGCTGGGTCAGGGCACGGGTGCCGGCTGCCGCGCCCGGAGTGTGGGATCTGCCGTCTCCAGACAGACAGCGCCACGACTGAGTGAAACTGTAGGAAACCCAGTGGGCACCGCAGAAGACTGCCTGGTGCGGGTGTGGAGTGCTTTGTGAGCAGAGAAGGAGACACAGGATAAAGACCCATGGTGAGGCCGAAACCAGTTTGGCTCAGCGGTGGAGTGTCAGTCTGCGGACTGAAGGGTCCCAGGTTCGATCCCAGTCAAGGGCATGTGCATTGGTTGCGGGCACATTCCCAGTAGGGGGCGTGCAGGAGGTAGCTGGTCGATGTTTCTCTCTCATCGATGTGTCTAGCTCTCTATCTCTCTCCCTTCCTCTCTGTAAACAATCAATAAAATATATATTAAAAAAAAAAAAAAAAAAAAAAAAAAAGGCCCACGGTGAGAAGAACGGGGTTCTCCCCGCACAGGAAGGCCTGGGCTCTCCCCATTTCAGCGGTAACTGTCTGATTCCAGGGGGACGTTCTGGAAAAGGCAAACCATGGAGACAAAGGTGACAAAGAGCAGTGGTTCCCGGGCGTAGGGGAGGGATGACCAGGAGAGCACAGGGACTTTAGGACAATGAAACTATTCTGTAAGCTTCTGCCCCACCCCACCCAGCGGAGACAGAGAGGAGCTGGAAATGGAGTTAGTCATGGAGGCAGGAATTCTGGTCACATGTCATACCTCTGTCAAGTCCTACAGAATGCACAACACAACTGTAACCAATGTAGCACACTAATTAATGCAAGATGTAAACACTAGGAGAAATTGTATGTGGGAACTCTCTCTATATATCTTTAATTGAGCCGGGACCAGTTTGGCTCAGTGGATAGAGCATCGGCCTGTGGACTGAAAGGTCCCGGGTTCGATTCCAGTCAAGGGCATGTACCTTGGTTGCGGGAACATCTCCAGTAGGGGGGGTGCAAGAGGCAGCTGATCGATGATTCTCTCTCATCGATGTTTCTAACTCTCTATCCCTCTCTCTTCCTCTGTGAAAAATCAATAAAAAATATATATAAAATATATTTTTAATTGACTTTGGAGAGGTGGAAGGAGCCCGCTGGCATGGCTCAATGGTTTAGTGTCAACCTATGAACCAGAGGTCACAGTTCGATTCCCCATCAGGGCACATGCCCGGGTTGCAGGCTCGGTCTTTAAATTAAAAAAAAAAAAAGAATTATAGAAAAAATACAAAAACAAAATAACTGCTCTTAAATAATAATGTGTATTACTTTTTTAAAATGTGGATACTATATTGGATTACTGCACGGCTATGAAACAAATGAATGAGGCTGCTCTCTACAGGACATAGAAAAGACCTGCAGATAATGACAACGCAGGGCACAGCAGGCTGCAGTGCCCAGCGCACTGCCTCCACTCATGGCTTTTCGACTTTACAACGTGCAGAAGCGATGCGCACTCGGCAGAAACCGCTGGGCTGAGCCGCGGCGTTCTGCGGGGCAGGCGCAGGAACAGCATCCACCTTACGGCATTTTCAACTTCCAATGGGTTATTGGGCTGTAACCCCAACGTAAGCCAAGGGGCATCTGTATGTAGCATGCTTACGTCTAAGAAAGGAAGGAAACTAAGATGTTTTCGCACAGGCTGCTTGTGTCTTACAGAAACATTGAAAGGGAATCAAGAAACCAACAACAGGGAAGTGGAGTAGGAGGGAAGGAGAGGAGACACTTCTCCATATATATTGTTGAGAATGTGTGTGTGTGTGCGCGCGCGCATATGTGTACACATACACTGAGTGGCCAGATTACGGTATTATGATCTCTGAACGCATAATAATCTGGCCACTCACTGTATATCCTATATAAAAAAAGACTAATATGCAAATTGTCCCCTCAACCAGGAGTTCAACCAGGAGGCAGGCTGGCCAACCACCCATGTCCCCTCTGCATGCCCAGGATGGCTGGACCCACCCATGCACAAATTCATGCACCGGGCCTCTACTATATATACACACATTAAATGGCCAGATTATTATGTGTTCAGAAATCATCATAATCTGGCCACTCACCGAAACTGGTTTGGCTCAGTGGCAGAGCATCGGTCTATGGACTGAAAGGTCCCAAGTTTGATTCCGGTCAAGGAGCATGTACGTTGGTTGCGGGCACATCCCCGGTAGAGGGTGTGCAAGAGGCAGCTGGTCAATGTTTCTCTCTCATCGATGTTTCTAGTTTTCTATCCCTCTCCCTTCCTCTCTGTAAAAAGTCAATAAAATATATTTTAAAAAATTATATAGGTTTCAAGTGCACAATTACGTCATACATCATCTGTATATTACATTGAATGTTCACCACCCAAAGTCCACTCTCCTTCCGTCACCATATGTTTGACCTCCTTTACCCATTACTACCTCCCTGTTTTGTTTTGTTGTTTTAAATATATCAATATTTTATTGATTCTGTACAGAGAGGAAGGGAGAGAGATAGAGAGTTAGAAACATTGATGAGAGAGTCATCAATCAACTGCCTCCTGCACACCCCCTACTGGGGATATGCCTGCAACCAAGGTACATGCCCTTGACCGGAATCGAACCCAGGACCCTTCAGTCCCCAAGCCGACTCTATCCATTGAGCCAAACCGGTCTCGGCACTACCTCCATGTTTTGATAGCCAATCACGTCTCCTGCCAACCGAACATGCAGGTGCCTATTTCATACTATCTGTCTCGATGTTTTCACCGAATAAATGGGTAAAAAATGGCGCATCATTTTTCATATTCTACTCTTTTCCTGATAAATTATAATATGGTTTATTAATTTTCTAGGTGTTTTTGGCTACCTGTATTAGACTTTTTAAAAACTGGGTCACCTTTTTCTTATTGACTTGTAGGAGGTTCTTTATAAACAGTGAATATTAATATAAACATATTAATATGATATAAACATTTAGCCCTGGCTGGTGTGACTCCGTTGACTGTAGTTTCATCCCATACACCAGAAGGTGGCGGGCTGAATGCCAGGTCAGGGCACATACCCAGGTTTTGGGTTTGATGCCCCATTGGGGCATGTGCAGGAGGCAACCGATGGATGTTTCTCTCTCACATCAATATTTCTCTCTCTCCCTCTCTTTATCTCTCTAAGATTAATTTATTATTATTTTTTAAATCCTCACCCAAGGATTTTTTTTAAAGACAGTGGAAGGAAGAGGGAGAGACAGAGAGAAACACTGATATGAGAGAAATACATCAATTGGTTGCTTCCTACATGCCCCCTAACCAAGGTCAGGAGCCTGCAACTGAGGAACATGCCCTTGACCAGAATGGAATCCAGGACCCTTCAGTCCACAGGCTGACGCTCTATCCATTGAGCCAAACCGGCTAGGGCTCTAAGATTAATTTTTAAAATAAATAAAATATAAAGTTGGCTGTGGTTTTAAAATATTAAAAAAAACAACACTTAGGATTTAAGAAACAACAACATAAGAATCATTGGAAGAAATGTCCTCAGGTAAGGGTTAACAACAACAAAAATTTAAATATATTTTACCATCCTGCCGAAACCCGTTTGGCTCAGTGGACAGAGCGTCGGCCTACGGACTGAAAAGTCCCGGGGTTCGATTCCGGTCAAGGGCATGTACTTGGTTGCAGGCACATTCCCAGTAGGGGATGTGCAAGAGGCAGCTGATCGATGATTCTCTCTCATCGATGTTTCTAACTCTCTATCCCTCTCTCTTCCTCTCTATAAAATATATATATATATATATATATATATATATATATATATATATATATATTTACCATCTTATCCTATATAATAAAAGGGTAATAGGCAAAATGACCCTAACAGCAGAACAACCGCTCGACCAGTCACTATGATCGCAGGCCAGGCCTAGGGACCGGTAGTACCTGTGCATGAATTTTGTGTACCGGGCCTCTAGCATAAATGTAATTTGCATGACCATGTATAAATTAGGGTTCTTAAATCTGTTATATACACACCAAGTCTTTTTTCTTAGTTTGTCATTTGCCTTTTTGTTGTTGTGTTAATCTTCACCCGAAGGTATTTCTTCCACTGGTTTTTCAGAAAGAGTGGAAGGAAGGGAGAGAGACAGAGAGAAACATCGATGTGAGAGAAACATATGATTGGCTGCCTCCTGCACACCCCCGGTTGGGGCCAGGAATCAAGCATGTAACCGAAGTGCATACCTTTGACCAGAATTGAACCCAGTCCCTTCAGTCCTCAGACAGATGCTCTAACCACTGAGCAACAGGCTACGGTTGTCATTGCCTTTACCTTTGTTTACGGCATCTCTCAACGTTCGAAAGACTCTAATTATAATCTTCTCAAATCAGCCCAACTTTTCCTTCATGGATTTAGGGGCTTATGTCTTGCTTTGGAACTTTTCATACCCCAGATTATAAAAAATATCCTCCCATTAAATTTCTTGTAACACTCTTATTGTAAAAATATGATTTGGGGTTAAAGTAAGTTATCCTGACGCTATCTATCCTCACCCAAGGGTTTTTTCCATTGATGTTTATTCCCATTGAGTTTTAGCGAGAGCAGAAGGGAGGGAGGGAGAGGGCAGAGAGGAAGAGAGAGAGAAACATGGATCAGCTGCTTTCCTTATGTCCCCAAATGAGGACTGAAACCTCAGCCCAGGTATGTGCCCTGCAGGAACGGAACCTGCAGTCTTTCAGTGACAGGACAACGTCCAACCAACCGACCACTCTCGCTGGGCTCCTGTCCTTTCCTTTTTGTCCAAAATATATTTTTATTGATTTCACAGAGCCCTCAACTTGGGCATGTGCCCTTGACCGGAATCAAACCTGGGACACTTCAGTTCACAGGCCAACACTCTATCCATTAAGCCAAACCAACTAGCGGTATCGTACTTTTTAAAAAATCACTTGTCACTATCCTGGCCAGTTTGGCTCAATGGATAGAGTGTCAGCCTGTGACCAGGCTGGCAGGGGGGCCAGTTAGGGGCAACCAGGCAGGTAAGCAATTAGGAGCCAGAGTTCTAGGATTGTGAAAGGGATGTCCGACTACCGGTTTAGGCCTGATCCCCAGGATTGGGCCTAAACCGGCAGTCGGACATCCCCCCAGGGGTCCCAGATTGGAGAGGGTACAGGCTGGGCTGAGGGGACCCCCTGCCTGTGCACGAATTTCATGCACTGGGCCTCTAGAAATAAAATAAAAATCACTTGTCAGGATTTACATTTTGTTTATGGTGTGAAAGAAGGCTTCTTTTTTTTTGGAGAACCAATCTATGGTCTTTAGAGAACCAGAAGTTCAATGAATTGTTCAGCTAGATTTTATGTCTAATTCATAAGTGACTAGTATGGGCCTGGGATTTGATCTATGTTACCTGCCTTTGTGCCTACAGCCCTACAAAGAAGATATTAGGGCCTATGTCACAGATGAGGCCAGAGACACTGAGGCCAGAGAGAGGCAGTGCCTGGGCCGGGCTCACAGAGAGAGAAGGGAGGAGAAGGGAAGGGCTGGGAGGTTGGGGGAGAGGATGACTCTCGGGATAGAGCTGACCTGGGCGGGAGCCTCGATCTCACCTCCAGGCAAGGACCAGCGTGCAGTCTGCCAGGATGCACATCTTAGCCAGCTCCTTGAGGGCCTGCTGAGGGTCTTTCTGGGTAGAGAAGAACATCAGAATGAGCGATCTGGGAGAAAGCAAGGCGTTGTAGTCTTGAAAACACAGCGGCTTCGGATGCAGGGAACCTTCCATTCATTGACACTCCCTAAGCTCCTATGGGTGCTGGCCTGTGCTGGGAGCCAGCAGTGACCGCGACAGCCTGGTTCTCTCCTCCAGGAGCTCGCCGTCTGAAGGGACAGATGCATCCTCAGACAGTGAGGACCAGTGGCCAGAGCTGGAGGGGCTGGAGGTGGAGACCCCAGAGGAGCATGTGGCCTGGGAGAGTGTTCTGGGAGAGCTTCTGAGGAGGAGCCGTCTGAGCTGAGACCTTCCGGAGGATGAAGAGGAGGAGAGGCAGCTCAGGAGAGCAGAAAAGGGAACCTTAAACAGGGAAGAGCGTGTGCAGGAAGGGAGAAAGGAGAGGGCGTGAGCAATGGGACAGAGGATGGGAAAGAAAGGTTTGTTTTTAATTGATTTGAGAGAGAGAGAGAGAGAGAGAAAGGGGGAAAGAGGGAGGGGGAGAAACATCGATGTGTTGTTCCACTTATTCATGCATTCATCGGCTGATTCTTGTATATGTCCTGACCGGGGATCAGACCTGCAACCTTGACATATTGAGATAACCCTCTAACCAACGGAGCCGCTGGCCAGGGCAACAGAGAGGGTTTTCACACGGAAGCTCAGGCATGAGGGCAGAGAGCGGGGTGAGAACAAGAGCTTCCGGGCCGTGGGGAGCACCGGGAAGCCACTTAGGGTGTTTTCGGTTGTTGTCAATCCTCCCCCAAGGATATTTTTCCCACTGATTTTTGAGAAAGAGTGGAAGGGAGGCAGGGAGAGGGAGACAAAGAGACAGAGAGAGGGAAACACTGATGTGCGAGAGACACAATGACTGGTTGCCTGACTAGGGCCAGGGATCGAACCTTCCACCCAGGTACGTACCCTTGACCAGAAATCAAAGCGGAGACCCTTCAGTGCTTGGGCCGACGATCTTACCACTGGGCAACAATGGCCAGGGCCCATTCAGGGGTTTGAACACCAGACCTGTGCATTAGGAGGGCCCTCTGGCGGCTTTGAGGAGGAGAGGGGTCAAGGCCGGAGGCCAGGGGACAAAGGGAGAGGCTGGGGCAGGGACCCAGGCATGAGAGGGGCCTAAATCGGGCCAGGCTGTGCCGACAGAGAACATAAAACAGATTCAAGTAAGATGCAGGGGCGGAGTGCCGGGACTAGTTAAAGCCGGTTGGGGAAGAAGGAGATGGGTCACTTTACCCTCCCACCTCCTTACAACGCAGGGTGTCACCGTCAGATGTGAAGACGGGTCCTCCCTGAGGCTTCCCCTGGCATTTCTCCTCGGAAGGGGTTCGACGGTCCCCTTGGCGACCAGGAGGCCGAGGCCCCCGCTGCGCAGGCGGGACGGAGCCGGAGGGGAGCACCCCGCTTACCACGTCCACCTGCACCAGCAGCACCCGCAGCGCGAAGCTCTTCCCCAGGCTCTGCAGCCGCTCGTGGATGTAGTCCCGGTGGAGGTTGTGGTAGCGGAGGCTGGGAGGGGAGAGGCGGGAGTGAGGGGTCTCCTGGCCCGAGTTCCAGGGAGCCCCCTTCACTCTAACACGCGGGGAGCGGGGCAGCCTGGCCGGGCGCTGAGGCTCGGGGTCACTGCCTCCCCCTGCAGGAGGGGCACAGCGGGGCTGGCAGAGGGGCTGCCCAGCTCGGGCTCCCTGCATTGTCGGCCCCGGGTCTTCCCTGAGGAGGGGAGGCCAGCGCCCTAGAGAGCAAGACCGGGACGCCGCGCGGCTGGTCAGAGAAGCAGGGGCCACCCCAGGGCTCTGGCTGGTGGGGACGGAGGGGGCATCTCCACCTGGGAGCCAGGGACATCTCTGCCCGGAGCCGCCGGCCCTCACGCCTGCAGGGGGCCGGGAACTTAGAAACTTCACTTCCCCGGGGCCTCTGGAGAGGGACTAGGGTGTAACGGGGCGGAGGACAGGGAAATCCTGGGTCTGGTCACCTTCAGGCCTGGATGTTGGGGCCGCTCAGTCTGAGGCATGAGTGACCCGGCCCCAGGCTGCTCAGGCACAGGAGTCTGGGCCCAGCTCTGGTCACTCCGGGCGCCCCCAGCCCGGCCTCTTCCTCGCACCCCAGGCCCAGAGCCCTCAGCCCCATGCCCGGCGGCCCCGGGAAGAGCCCAGCACCCGGCGCGCCCTCCGCGCCCTCCTGCAGGCGGCCAGCCCGCTCACCTGAGGAAGAGGGCGCAGGTGCTCTGGCCCAGCACGTAGTCGGGAACCACGTCGCCGAATTCCCAGGGCACGTTGCGCACAAACTTCAGCACCGGGTTGCCCCTCTGGGGAGGGAGGGAGAGCGGAAGCCATTAACAGGGAGGACCCTGGAGCCACGGCCACTCCAGGCCCCCCCCCCCCCCCAGCTCTCTCAGCACCTCCCCACCCTTCTCCTGCCCGGCGCCTGGGTCTTGCAACTTCTCTCTCCTCTGCCGGACCAGTTCGGCTCAGTGGTTAGCATGGAACCATGAAGCAGGAGGCCACGGTTAGATTCCCTGATGCCCATGAGGAAGGGAGAGGGAGAGAGAGAATCATCAATGATGAGAGAGAACCACTGATCAGCTGCCTCCTGCACGCCCCACACTGGGGATCCTGGGCATGTGCCCTGACCGGAAATGAACTGTGACCTCCTGGTTCGTAGGTCGATGCTCAACCACTGACCCACACTGGCCAGGCAGGCTCTCCTCCCCCTGAGCCCAACATGTCCTTGGCACTCCAGCTCTGACCTTGGCTCCTCTCCCCGAGCCCCAGGCTAGAACTGAAGGATCCCTGTGTCTGTCTCTAACTCCCCAGCCCAATGTGGGTGTCCTGTGGCCCACCAGACACTTCCCCTGGACGCCCACCTCCCTGTGTCCAAACGCCCTCAGCATCTGCCCTCACACCTCCTCCCCCTCCCGGCTCTACAGCCCGCTGTGGCTCCCCGGCGCCTTCAGGGGGAGTCTCATGTGGCTCCACACAGCAGGCTCCTCTCACGTTCTTCCTGAACTTACCCTGTAGCCTAGAACTGCAGGACTCTGAGGAAGTCAAGCTCCAATCCATCCAGTAAGTATTTACTTATTTATTTAAATATGTTTTTTATTGATTTTTTACAGAGAGGAAGGGAGAGGAAAAGGGAGCTAGAAACATTGATGAGAGAGAAACATGGACCAGCTGCCTCCTGCACACCCCTCACTGGGGATGTGCCCACAACCAATGTACATGCCCTTGACCGGAATCGAACCTGGGACCCCTTAATCCACAGACCGACGCTCTATCCACTGAGCTAAACCGGTCTCTATCCACTGAGCCATCCAGTTTTGCACATCCAGTAAGTATTTAATGAGCACCAGCCATGGGCCTAAGAACTGGGGATACAGCAGTAACCCAGACAGACAAACCCCTCCTCTCCTGCGGGACAGCCATTCAACAAGACGATCTCAGGGATGAAGGTGTAACTGCCAGTGAGGGGACTGGGATCTAAGAGGGTGGGACCTGCTCCCGGGGTGGGTGTGGGTGACCAGAGCCGAGGGGCGGGAAGTCTGTAGGGGTCCACAGTCACACAGGCCCTGGGCCATCTAACTGGCGGCTGGCGGGAGCCATGTAAAGGGGCAGGATCATGTTTTAATTTTTAAAGGATACTAGAGGCCTGGTGCAAGAATTCATGTACTAGTACGGCCCCTCGGCCTGACCCGTGGGATCAGGCCAAAACCAGCTCTCTGACATCCCTCGAGGGGCCCCTGGATTCTGAGAGGGCAGTGGAGAGATGCAGAAGGTTGGCCAGCCTGGGAGGGACAATGGGAGGGCTCCAGGGCCTGTCTGGCCTGTCTCACTCAGTCCTGATCAGCAGACCCCAGCAGCAAGCTAACCTACCTGCCAGAGCATCTGCCCCCTGGTGATCAGTGCATATCATAGCGACTGGTTGCCTGTCTGCCCCCTGGTGGTCAGTGCTAGTCATAACAAGCAGTTGAGCAGCCTTAGCGTATCATTAGCATATTATGCTTTGGGTTTTTGTTTGTTTGTTTGTTTTTCAATATATTTTATTGATTTTTGTACAGAGAAGAAGGGAGAGAGATAGTTAGAAACATCAAATAGAGAGAGTCATTGATCAGCTGCCTCTTGCACACCCCCTACTGGGGATATGCTCGCAACCAAGGTACATGCCCTTAACCGGAATCGAACCCGGGGCCCTTCAGTCCCCAAGCCAACGCTCTATCCACTCAGCCAAACCGGTCCCGACAGCATATTATGCTTTGATTGGTTGAACAGCCGACCAGTCAACTGGACACTTAGCGTGTTAGGCTTTTATTATATAGGATGACCAAAAACAAAAGGTCAGACAACGACAGATGGAGAGAATATGGTGAAACTGGGACATTCACACATTACTGGTGGGAATGTAAAACAATGCAACTTTTTAGAAAATAGTCTGGGAGTTCCTGAAAAAGTTAAACATGGAGTGGTCATGTGACCCAGCAAATCCACGCCCAAATCAATACCCAAGAGAACGAGAACCACTCATCTGCACAAAACTTCACAGCATTTTTATAATAACAGAAACGTACGCATAACCCAGTGGACTGTCCAGCAATGGATGAATGGAGAAACAAGATGCGGCAAATGCACAGAATGGAATACTGCTCAGCAATGAAAAGGGATGAGTGAACCTTAAACAAGCTCAGGGAAAGAAGCCAGGCATCAGGTGATGGGCGTTTGAGTTTCACCCACTTTTTGGCTATTGTGAATAATGCAGCTATGAACATTTGCGTACAAGATTTTGGCGGGCGTACGTGTTTTTTTTTCCTTGTTTTTTTTTTAAATATTATATATTTTATTGATTTCTTACAGAGAGGAAGAGAGAGGGATAGAGAATTAGAAACATCGATGAGAGAGAATCATCGATCAGCTGCCTCTTGCACACTCCCCACTGGGGATGTGCCCGCAACCAAGGTACATGCCCTTGACCGGAATCGAACCCGGGACCTTTCAGTCCTCAGTCCAACGCTCTATCCACAGAGGCAAACCGGTTTCGGCTGGACGTACATTTTCATTACCCTCCGATATGTACCCATCAGTGGACTTGCTGGGTCATGTGCTAACTCTATTATTAAGTATTTAAGGAACTGCCAGACCATTCTCCATGGCTGCGCCATTTTACATTCCCACCAGCGTCTGAGGGTTCCAGATCCTTCGCAGACTCACAGCACTCATCCCCGTCTGTGCTTTCCAGTGTAGCCATTCCAGTAGGTGTGGGTGGAATCTCATTGTGTTTATTTTTAAAAAATATACGTTTATTGATTTCAAAAAGGAAGGGAGACGGAAAGAGAGATAGGAACATCAATAATGAGAGAGAATCATGGATTGGCTGCCTCCTGCACACCTGGGCAGATGCCCTGACCGGAAATCAAACCATTGAGCCACACTGGCTGGGCACTCATTGTAGTTTTGATATGCACTTCCCTGATGGCTAATGATATTGAGCATCTTTTCACACCTATTTTTTTTAACTGCTGACAGCTTTACAGATATCCCCCAATTCTTCCCAGCCCCTGCCCCAACCCATCTTTTCACATTCTAGAGTCCTATCATTGTCTTTGTATAAAGAACACCAGCTCCATCAATTGTAGAGACTGTATGTTTCCTTTCTATCACTCTATCCCCAGAGCCTAGAACAGCATCTGGCAACCTCTGAATGTATTTGTGGACTATAAGTGGATGAACCCTCATTTTATTTTATTTATTTAAGTATATTTTATTATTTTACAGAGAGGAAGGGGGAGAGAGAGAGAGAGAGAAACACCGTTCGGCTGCCTCCTGCACACCCTCTACTAGGGATCGAGCCTGCCACCAAGGTACACGCCCTTGACCAGAACTGAACCCGGGACCATTTAGTCACAGGCTGACGCTCTATCCACTGAGCCAAACCAGTAGTTAGGGTGTGAACCCCATTTTAAAAGCACAGATGGTAAACCATTTGCCCAAGATCACACGACGACTATGCAGCCCAGCAGGATTTGAATTCGGGTCTGTGTTCAATAAATAGTCTTTGAATATAGGAGCAAAACTGGGGTTAGGAAATGTAGGTGCACTAACACAATCACACCCCCAACAGGAGTAGTCAGCCTGTTGTGGATGGAATGTGTGTGTCCCATCAAAACTGAAACCTGACCCTCAATGGAATGGGATTAGGAGGTGAGGGGAGGTGATGAGGTCATGTGGGTGGAGCCCTCAGGAAGGGGATTAGTGCCCTTATAAAAGAGACCCCAGAGCTCCTTCCCCGTGAGGACAGTGGGCAGACAGCCCTCTATGAACCTCCGCAGACCCCAATTCTGTACGTGCCTTCATCTTGAACTTCTCAGCCTCCAAAACTGTGAGGAATAATTCCAAACGTTTGTCTACGCCACCCAGTCTATGGCATTTTTGTTATAGCAAAATAAGACATGTGGGGAGGCATCAATCTACACACAGTAGTTGAATGAATGAATGAATGGATGGATGAATGAATGAATGAATGAACTGTGCTGCTGACAGGACAATGGCCAGAACTTACACCTCCTTCCACTGCATACCAGAAAGTCATCCTTATTACTATTTTTCCCACCAAAACGTAAAGCCCCACTTCTCCATCCTCCTCCTCACCTGCCGGGGGCTCACAATGATGCTGTTGGATTTCGCCCCTGGTTTGGGAGCCTGGCTGGGGGTCTCTCCTGCCTGGGGTTCGGGCCCGCTGGGGGGCGCGGCGCCAGCCCCGCCTTCAGGTCCGGAGATGGCATACTCAGCGTAGGTCTGAGGGGCGGCCTGCGGTGAGGTCTCCGTGGTGGGATGGCTCCGAGCGGATCGGAATAAGGGCTTGACCTGTGAGGAGAGAGGGTGGGAGGGATCAAAATCAGAATCTCTCCACTTCTCCCAACTTCTCAGCCTCCACCTAGGTCCCAGTCACCGTCCTCTCTCCCTTGGACCACGGTCATCACCTCCTCACCAGTGCCCTGCCCAACCCTCACCGCCCCCCACACTGTCATATCCTGTCCCTCCTCTGCCCAGAGCCTGCCTCAGGGTAAAAGCCACAGCAGTCGCCATAGCCCACTCCCTGCTTTCTCTGCTCAGCCCGCTGGCCTTGGTGCTGCCCTCACTGCACCAGGCTCCCTCTGACCTCAGAGCCTCCGCACCCAGATGTCACACAGCTCGCTGCATCACCTACTCCCGTCTCTGCCACGACGTCACCTTCTCCGGGAGGCAGTCCTCTGACTGCCCCACCTCAGGCCCCACCTCTCCTCCATCACATCTTATATCCTTAGTCTAATTTCTCTTTATTTATTTATTTAAAATATATTTTATTGATTTTGTACAGAGAGGAAGGGAGAGAGATAGAGAGTTAGAAACATCGATGAGAGAGAGTCATCGATCAGCTGCCTCTTGCACACCCCCTACTGGGGATATGCTCGCAACCAAGGTAGATGCCCTTGACCGGAATCGAACCCGGGTCCCTTCAGTCCCCAAGCTGATGCTCTATCCATTGAGCCAAACCGGTCTCGGCTCTCTTTCTTTTTTTAAATATGTTTTTGTTGATTTCAGAGAGGAAGGGAGAGGGAAAGGAGGGGGATAGAAACATAATGATGACAGAGAATCATTGATCAGCTACCTCCTGCACACACACACACACACACACACACACACACACACCCCTTACTGGGGATCAAGCCCAGTGCCCTGACCTAAATAGAGCTGTGATGTCCCGGCTCATAGGTCAAAGCTCAACCACTGAGCCACACTGGCTGAGTGCACTTTCTTTTCTTCCTAGCCCATGAGCAGCAGCCAGTACTCAGCATCAGCCAACTGCTTTCCTGTGAGAGATCTCCATGTTGCCAGACCTTCGATTGACCAAGGAGCAGACCAAAAGATGTCAAAAGTGCCAGCTTTCTTTTAAAATTGCAAAACCTTCCAATTCTTTTTTTAAATATATTTTCTTGATTTTTTACAGAGAGGAAGGAAGAGGAATAGAGAGCCAGAAACATCAATGAGAGAGAAACATCGATCAGCTGCCTCCTGGGATGTGCCTGCAACTAAGGTACATGCCCTTGACCGGAATCGAACCCAGGACCCTTCAGTCCGCAGGCCGACGCTCTATCTACTGAGCCAAACCGGTTTCGGCAAAACCTTCCAATTCTTAAATGTCAGCAAGAAATCCAGGCCTTGCAGGTTGCTGGCCACATAAACACATCCCCCGGCCACACGTTTGCTGCCAGTTTGCGTCCCCTGCCTTAGGCCTCTCTTAGAACCACCGTGACATGTTACAGGTAGAGAAACTGAGATGGGAAGCAAAGGACTCCAACATTTCCTAACCCACACTGTAGCCCACTGGCCCTTCCCGTCCCCCTCCTCCCACAGCCCTCCCAGCGGGGGGGTCCGGGGGAGCCCACCCCCACCCCCATCCCCACCCCCACCCCCATCTCTCCGTCCTACCCCAGCGGGAGGGACCGCGTCCTCGTCCAGGGGAATGAGGAATCTCTTCCTGGTGGGCGGCTCCGCCGGCGGCCGCACTCCCCCTTCGTCCATCCCGAGGCTCTGCTGGGGCCTGTGAGTGAAGCCGGGGCGGCGGGAGCGAGTGAGACATCAGCGTCTGCATCCCCATCCCCCCAGCAGGAACCCCCCCTCACAGCCACCTCCCCCTTCCTCCCCCGCCAAACATAAAAACAAAAATAAAAAAATCCCAGGCCTCCACTGCAAACACCCAGCGCCCCAGCTTCTCCAAAGCCCCGTCCGGAGGGTGCACCCCCTGCGGCTCGCCCCGCCCAGAAGGCCCCTAGGTTCCCTCCGTCCCTCCCTCACCGCACCCCGCCTCTCAGTGCCCGCCCGGCCGCGGTCCCCACCTCCGTCCGCCCCGCCCCACGGAGCGCACCTGGATGCCCGCCCCGCCCTCCCTCCTGTCCATCTCGGACACCGCAGCTACGGATTGGCTTCCGCGGCTGCCATTCGCCTCCAGCAGCCTCCAGCCCCCCTCCCCTCCCTCCACCTGTCCCCCCGCTCACTGCCCTTCCCGCCCCAGCCCCGCAGCCTCGGCGCCGGGAGGACTCACCTCCTCGCCCCGCGCCGCCGGGAAAAGACCGGCGCGGCTAGAGCGTCCCCAGGCTCGCTTCACTTCCGGCCTCTCTAGCCCTCGAGCCCAGAGCGCGGTCCCGCGCAGCGCTCTATGGTCCTGGAGGACTGTGGAGGTTCGGGCTGGAGAGAGCCCTCTGTCCTCGGGCCTGAGCGGCTCAGGTTGCCAATCAGTTCGATTGCAAAGCCGCGATGGAGCGCCTCTTGTGTGCTGGGGCTCCGGGCAGGGCTCGCTGAGCGGGAGGTGGTGGGAGGTCAAACTAGGTCCCTTCTCTCTGCACTGCCCTGGGTTTGAATGAATCCCAGCTCTGCCATTGACTTGGCCTCAGTTTCCCCATTCATTCCTGTATTCTACACACATTCCCCAAGCCAGCGCCTCCTCGGTTCTGGCCCTGAGCCGGGCAGCGCTGGTGACACACCGATGACTAACGATAGCCCCGCGCCTGGAGCTCGTGGTCCAGGGGGAAAGGCAGGCCTGGGGTCCCAAACCGTGCACGGCTCAGGGAGGGCTGGGCTGGGGCCCGGGAGCCCTGCGGGCCAGGCAGGGGGTGCGTGGGTGTGCGTGGCCGGGTGTGTGACGGAGGATCCCACCCCAGCCTGAGGGTCAGAAAAAGGCTTCCTGGAGGAAGGGACATCCGAGCAGACCTGGCTGATGAGTTACAGATTAGTCATTTCCTGCAAGGATAGTACCACGCTGTTCTAACTTGCAACTCTCTGATTACTAAGGAGAGAGAACATGTTTTCGTGAGTTTATTGGCTTTATGTGTTTTGTCTGTTGTGAATCGCTTGCTCATATCCTTTGCCCACTTTTTAAATGGGGTTTTACGCCTCCTTTATTACTATTAATTTGTAGGAGTGCTTTATGGTTTCCGATTCTCTTAGTCAGTTACATATCTTCCAAATATTTCCTTCTAGTTTGTACTTTGTATTCTAATTTTATTTATTTCTGTCTCTCATAAATTCTTAGTGTTTATTCATAGCTGTTTCCAATCTGTTCCATCCTAGCTTCTGCTTTTGGTGTATTGTTTAAGAGGCCTGCCATACCCCAAGGTCATGAATATATTCTATCATTTCTTTTAAGACTTTTTCTTTTTTGTTTTTTTTAATATATTTTATTGATTTTTTACAGAGAGGAAGGGAGAGAGATAGAGAATTAGAAATGTCGATGAGAGAGTAACATCGACCAGCTGCCTCTTGCACACCCCCTACTGGGGATATGCCCGCAACCAACGCACATGCCCTTGACCGGAATCGAACCTGGGACCTTTCAGTCCGCAGACCGACGCTCTACCGCTGAGCCAAACCTGTTTCGGCTCTCTTAAGACTTTTTCTAGTTTTGCTTTTGTCTTTAACCTACACAAGACTTATTAGAAAATGCCTAAGGCAGAATTTATAATGGATGCAGCCAGTTGTCCTAATACCATTTATTTTAAAAGTCAATCCTGCCCTAGCCAGTTTGGCTCAGTGGAAAGAGCCTTGGCCTGCAGACTGAAGGGTCCCAAGTTTGATTCTGGTCAAGGGCATATGCCTGGGTTTCAGGCTCAATCCCCAGAGTGGGGCATGTGGGAGGCACAGATCAATGATAATCATTAATGTTTCTATCTTTCTCCCTTCATCTCTGAAATAAATTTTAAAAATATATATATAAAAGTCAATCCTTGCCCCAGTTTTAATATTCCATCTTTATCATGTACCAAGTTTCCATATATATATATATATGTGTGTGTGTGTGTGTGTGTGTGTGTGTGTGTGTATATACACACACACACACAGGTGTATTTCTATTATGTTTCATTGATCTCCATATCTGTTTCTTGCCTCCACCCCATACTGTTTAATTATTTTAGTTTGATATGTTTTGCTATTTACATGAAGCAAGTTCCCCCTCTATTCAGTTTCAAATTTGTCTTTACCATTCTTGTACATTTCCTCTTCTGGCTGAATTTTAGCAGCTGCTTTTCTAGTGCCATGATAAATCCTACCCTATTGAGATTGAGATTGGAATTGCATTGAATTGATGGCTTAATTATGAGAGAATTGACATTTTTTTCATATCCATGGACATGTCTCTATCCACGGATTCCAGCTTTTGTTAGGAGCCTATTTTTCTAATTAATTTTTATTTGCACAACTGATTCATGAATACATTTTTGTATTAGTTTCCTAGGACAGGACTGCTGTAGCAAGGTACCAACGACTGGGGGGTTAACTTCAGAAATGTATGTCTCACAGTTCTGGAAATCCAAAGTCAAGGTGTTGGTAGGACCATGCCTCTCCCCCAGCTTGGGGTAGCCAGCCGCCAGCCTTCCGTGTTTCTTGGCTTGTAGATGCCAATCTTTTTTCTTTTCTTTTTTTAAATATATTTTATTGATTTTTTACAGAGAGGAAGAGAGAGAGCTAGAGAGCTAGAAACATCCATAAGAGAGAATCATCCATCAGCTGCCTCTTGCACACCCCCTACTGCGGATGTGCCCGCAACCAAGATACATGCCCTTGACTGGAATCAAACCTGGGACCTTTCAGTCGCAGACCGATGCTCTACCACTGAGCCAAACCGGATTCGGCTAGATGCCAATCTTTTTCCTGTGTCTCTTCCCTCTGTGTGTGTGTGTCTGTGTCAGATGGGATTAGAGCCCACCCTGGTGACCGCAATTTAACTTCATTATCTCTGCCAAGACCTTATTTCCAAATAAGGTCACCTTGTGAGGTTAGGACTTCAATATATATATATATATTTGAGTGGACACAATTCAACCCCTAATGATTCTGTTCCTTTTTATTCATGTGAGGGCACCTGCTCTTCTCTTCATTCACAGACCATTGTGGACAGTCCCTCCTCTGAAAATATCTTTATTCCACCCTCCCCATTGGAATCTCAAACTCTGGATTCCTGGCAGTTTTCCTTGCAAAATTAGAAGGTGCTGGTCCTCCATCTCCCCGACGTCTCTGCTGCTGATGAGAACTCTACCATCCCCCGATTCTCTTTCCTCCATAAGCAGTGTCATCACGGGCGTAATTTTCCCAGGGTCACTGACTAGTGAAGTATGGTAGCAACCATACTTGGGTAAAAATTGCTGCTTAATATTTTAGCCTTGCTGTTTTGGGTTCTGTGCTCATTTAAAAGTTATTTTGAGCCGAAACCGGTTTGGCTCAGTGGATAGAGCGTCGGCCTGCGAGCTGAAAGGGCGCGTCCCCGGTGGGGGTGTGCGGGAGGCAGCTGATGGATGTTTCTCTTTCATCGATGTTTCTAACTCTCTATCCCTCTCTCTTCTTCCCTGTGAAAAATCAATAAAATATATTTTAAAAAATAAATAAAATAAAATAAAAGTTATTTTGATTTTCTGAACTTATCATCAATACTCCATCGATGATGGTTTCAATGTCCCATTGATTGTGATCTCACTGGTCATCGAAGCACATTCCAAGTCAGATCAATGATCCTAAATGGTCTCAGTAGCTACCGAGAGTGCTTGCATTCCTGTTGACTCAGTGATCCCAGAATCTGGACAGTATAATTATTCCAAATTGTCCAGGTGGCCGGTCCCACATAATGTTTCTGGTGATTCAGTGATTCGTAGATAACTAAGTTGCTCAGCTTCTGCTTCTGTGAAAATGCTTTTTTGAGAAACAGGTTCCTCATTCCAGACCCAAAGATGTAATTCATGCTTTTGTGATATTCTGCCAATATAAGCCAGGCGTGGCAAGCTGTTCGGGGCTGTGAGGTCTGGAGTGCTTTGCTCCCTCGTATGCCGCCGGCTTTTAATAAATGACTCCATAGTTCGACGTTTTTGAGGCGTCCTTTGTAAGTTGGGGCTTACACTACACCAGCAGTGTGACCTTGCACCAGCAACTCAGCGCCTGTGTGTGTGTGTGTGTGTGTGTGTGTGTGTGTGAGTTTGCTCATCTCTAAAATGGGGACAGTAGCCCTGGTTTGGCTCAGTGGATAGAGCGTCAGTCTGTGGACTGAAGGGTCCCAGGTTCGATTCCAGTCAAGGGCACATCCCCGGGTTGCAGGCTCAATTCCCAGTGGGGGCCGTGCAGGAGGCAGCAGATCAATGATTCTCTGTCATTATTGATGTTTCTATCCCTCCCTCTCCCTTCCTCTCTGAAATTAATGAAAATATATTTTAAATGAGGATAATAATAGTATAATTATTATGAAGATGGGATGAGTTACATGTAAAGTAGCTAAAATAGTAGTTGGCATGTTCTGTATTCAGGTTTGTCACATAAATAAACCAGCCTTAACCAAGTCCTGGGCAGGCAGGCGCCATTGTAGCTGTTGCTGTATCACAGGTCTGGCACCCAGACGCTACCAACCTGGATGTTGTGTGAAGGAATGAAAGATAGAAGCCAAGCCCTAGCCGGTTTGGCTCAGTGGATAGAGCATGGGCCTGGTCCCAGGTTCGATTCCCGTCAAGGGCATGTACCGTGGTTGCAGGCTCCTCCCCAGCCCAGGCCTTGGTTGGGGTCCCTGTAAGAGGCAACCAATCGATGTGTTTCTCTCACATCGATGTTTCTCTCTGCCTTTCCCTCTCTCCCCCACTTCCCCTAAAAATCAATGGAGAAATACCCTTGGGTGAGGATTAACAAAAACAAAACAAAACACACACAAAAAACACAGTCGTTCTCCCCGCCCCCCACTCCCCACTCATTACCTGCGCTTTTGCTTTCTACAATTTCAGTTACCTTCGTTCCACTTTGGCCCAAAGCATTACACGGAAAATTCCAGAAATGGACAATTGATAAGTCTTCCATTGCACAGCGTTCTGAGTAGCGAAATGAACTCCTGTGGCTCCGTCATCAGATGGTCAGAGAGTTACCCGGGGCTTGCGTTCCGGTCCCCCAGGTTTTCGTTAATAATTGCCCCCAAGGGCGAGAATGGCCACTCGGACATGCCACAGAGAAGCGCTGAAGTGCTTCCTTTAAGGGAAAAGCTGAATACAGCACACAGCAGACTATCTTCAGATACAGAGACTACATTCGCATAACTTTCATTACACTATCTTGCTAGAGCTCTATTTTAGCAGTTGATCTTTTACAGAGAGGAGGGGAGAGGGATAGAGTCAGAAACATCGATGAGAGAGAAACATCGGTCAGCTGCCTCCTCCCCCCCCCCCCCTG